ACATGTCCTACAACAATATAACCAGATGCTAGATATAACAATCTTACACAAGATCCATTTTATGTCCATTTCAAGCTGGACAACTACACAATCAAAAGCTAACTTATCAAGTGCAAATGAACCTGGTGTAGGGAGGCTTAGCATCACTCATTCGCCGACGACACATTTCTCCAGTCCTCGGGAGAGCAAACGAACACATGTCCGAATCTACGCCAAAACATTTCTTACTATTATCAACACTCTTTTGTGTTATGAACATGAAACAAATTAAAATTTACCATAAAACGAATATACGAAATTATTGTAGACATCAATCATATTAATAACACAAACCGTCATCAATTCAAGTGAACTAGTTCCCGTTGTCTCTCCCCCCATTCCAGCCAACCGGGTAGTTTCCTTCATAATAGACATTGGATTCAAATCAACTAGTTACATATAGAATTTACCATACTTACCGGGCCTTGTGGAGATGGTCCAATGGAAGAACTCATCCATAAAGAAATTTCTTGTACACAGTCACTTCATCTCTAATAGCTTTAATTTCATGACAAGACTACCTTCATCTCAGCAATACCATTGCGAATTTCCTCCATTTGTGATTGTATGGCTACACTATCGACATGGCTAACAGATTGAGTCTTGGTTTGGGCGGAGGTTGCTGTGACATCAACCGCCGTTTGCCGTTTTCTTTTCCCTGCAAGCGCTTGTTGGTACAAAGATTCACGGACGGCTAGTGTTCTCTAAGCCGTTGGGATTTTTTGAGTTTAGAATTGAGATATTCTTGCATAATACAATGAGTTTGAAGACAAATGTGATAACGTTACGTAAGGGTGAAAACACAAAAAACTGTGTTGCTCTTAACAAGTAGGTGTTGTTACCAAAATATCATCAGTCTCCTCTTTATCCGCGTGTTGTCCCTTGGTGCGGGATGCCATCCATATTTCCAGGCTATCGGGTTCTTTGCCTTTGGCCTTTATCTGCAAGTACATTTATCTCGGCCTTGCTAAAAGTGCTCATCCAAAGAAAAAAAGAGAAGCAATGATATATACATGCAACAAGATTTGTAATGATAAGCTGGAAAATAAAGCAGAGACAGACTTCCTCAGCCAAGATGTCAAATGATTTTCTGCCTGTTCTTAGTGGAAAACTTCTTTTCACTGCATTGGCGGCATTTCTGCTAGCAATATCCTACAAACACCATATATGTAAGCACTTGATTGGTCCGGTGACAAGCCCTAAGAAAAAGTACACTTTGTTGGGCACATACCTTTACTTTTTTTGTCCTTCCAATACTGCACTAGCAATGGCCAATTTCCTGCAATAACATGCTCTTTCGGAGCTATCTTCAGGGCCTCTTCACCATCCTCTATTGATGTAAAGTGTGATGCCTTCACATTGTATTTCCAGTGGCGTCAGACGTCTTTAAGGTTAGAGAGCACTAATTTCTCAGCAGAATCGGGTAGACCACAGTTTTTCTAAAAGTGACCCCGTCAAATAGTAATAATCCACTTTAAGACTCAAATATATTAAAGTAATGCAAATTTACGTGCAATGAATATAACTTTCATTGTCCACAACATACATGTACCTCAATCCAAATCTCTTTTTTAGTTGTCTCTGGGATCTGCTGAAATGTCGGATAGTGGAGAAGAAGACGTAGTCTGTTTCTCACAATCACCCGTAGAGCACTCTTATATCCATGAACATCAGTACCTATTATCCGTGTGCCATCATCGGACACAAATACCTGAAGGGAGTTGTCACCACCCAACCACAGGGCATCTTTGCGGCACCTCTTCCAGTTTTCTTTTTCGAAAGAGGACCTACAACAAGTGCGTGATGGCCGAAACAATTGTATGTAGTTATATATTCATATGAGAATACCTCCACAAAGAAATCAACACAACATATGAAAGTAGCCGTACCATCATCCTGCGTTGTTGTATCCTCTTCGCGAATGTCATTACCCAATGTCTCCCGGAGTTCCTCAGCCTCTGTTTAATGTGCTCCACCATCGTCATCGAGATTCCAATTAGTCAGGACCTGATCTTCAGCTGGACCAATCGTTTCATCATCTTCTAATTCATCCCTATCCAGCTGTGACAATCTTAAGTTAACAATTTAAACTATAGTACTTTACAAAATAGAAAACAGAACAAGGGTGCACCTCTTCCTCCTCTGGCGCTTGTGATTCCTGAAGAAGACTCCGTCGGACTGTGGATGCAGTTGTAGTTGATGGCGACCTGGAATCACGCTCTTTTTCCGGTAATCCTGCGTAATCGGTCCAGAAGAGGTGATACGTGTGCCCTTGGTCGATTACTCGTATTCTTCTTGGTTGGAACCACTTTTGACGAAGAAGGTTTACTTGGAACAACCTTCGCCGAGGGTGATAAAGTGGCACGTGCAAGTGCCCTAGTGACACGACGCAATGGTGAGTTGACAAGATCCTGAGATGCATTTGATTTTCCTCGAGTGGTTTTTGCCATTACCTTTAGTCAAAGATGGTATATATATTTATAAGCAACGAATGTCCATAGGTGAATCTACAATGTATAATCAAAATGGAAACACAAATTTAAAAAAAAAAAACACATAAAGCATGCATATGAAGGAACATCCAATATAACGACATTGTAGTGACACTAAAAATGATTGACAATATAACAAAATAACCAACATAAATGTACCTGAAGTTTGGTTTAGGATATTGGAGTATCCTACATATACCATGTATTTATTGCTTCACAACTCTATAATTCAGCCAAAAACTCCAAAAATGTGGGAAGGTTTCCAAAAAGTCATCAAAAACAAAAAGGACTACACTCCATTATAATGAAGCGCAGTTGGATTCTTCTGAAGAATCCTCTTCAACCATCCCTGCTAGGCTAGTGCCTACATTCATATTGGCTTCAACTTCCACTACTACCCCCTCTACATCCTCCCTCAACCAATAATCAGCCGGTCCTCTGGATGTGCAACCATCGTCAACGTTAAACCTTGTCCTGAAATTATCATCCATGGTCGTGTAAACATCATAGGTATCTCTTCTAGACATTGGAACAATAATGCTTCAGTTTTCCTCTGCAGGATCAATGATGTACCAAACCTGTCTTGCTTGCATAGCTAAGATATACGGTTCTGTTGGGAGATTTGTTGTGTACATCAAATGCCGGAAGTTCACCATCTTGTACTTGTACTCATCATGCTTAACACCCTTCTCTGGGTCAACCCGGTCACATTTAAATAGAAGGAAACGGATTTCATTACTGTACTCCACCTCTATAATGTCAGTTACTAACCCATAATATGCGACCGAACCTGCACGAGGATTTAGGTCTCTCGCACTTGCATAGCTAATCATCTCCGCATTGACCATCACATCAGCACATTGAGTCTTTTTTCCTTTGTCTCTTAATTTAACTCAAAATTGGATTCCAGAGATGATGCAAGACGTGAATCTCTTTGCATGTGTGCAAGGTCCTTGTGCTAGTGTCTTCATATACACAGTGATTGTGCCATCGACATTGTGCGTAGGATCCTCTACCTACAAACAAGTTAAGAATATTTACTTTCGCAGTAAATTTGTTACTGATTGTACCCTCAACTCTAAATTGTGATGTTCGTGTACCCACATAAATTTGAAACCACCCTGGAAATTGTTTGATGTGGATCTGCTGCACTTCTTGGGGACTTGCATTGGGTCGCATTCTCTTAATACTTTCAAGATGTACACTACGGATGAAAGGGGAGTCCCCATGAAATTTAGACATGGTAACCCATAATAAGAATATCCTTTATTAAAGATACATACCTTCTGAGTGGACCAATAATTTCCATATTGCCTAATATGTATCAGTGTATTTGTTGCAAAGTGATGAAATCGATGTTACACTGGGACCCAAAAAGACCATGCCCTCTTCTTGATCAAAGATTGTCATTTCACACACCTTGATTCTCTTTAGTTTGTAAATCACCAAGATATCTCGAACAGAATGTCATACACTCTTCCACGAGGTATCCACGTGCAATTGAACCCTCCGGGTTCACATGGTTCCGTACATATCTCTTAAGAGTACCTAAATACCTTTTGATTGGATACATCCACCTATACTGAACAGGTCCTCCAAGCATCACCTCCTCTGGTAGGTGAATCGGAAGATGTTCTATGACATCAAAAAAAGAAGGTGGGAAAAGTTTCTCTAAGTGACATAGAGTCAGAGCAATTCTATCTTATAGCTTCTCAAGATCCCGTACTCTGTTGTTTGTTGAACACATCAAGTTGAAGAAGGTGCAAAGTTCCATCAAGACAAAAACGTTTTTGGGCAAAGCCCTACAAGAATAGAAAAAATCACCTCTCACAAAGTCATACAACTATAGTGCCAATCGTACAAAACAATGGGTTGGGTAGTGCATAACATACCGTCTAGCTGTAATACCAAGGATTCGCTGCATTAGAATGTGGTAATAATGGCTCTTCAAACCCCATATTGTTTTTTGTTCTATTCTGACCCGACGAGCTAAATTAGAACTAAATCCATCTGGGGGTCTCAAATTTTTCAAAATTGATAGGAAATTTTTTTCTCAGAACACGACATGGTGTACGCGGCTGCCGGTAAGTAAACCTTACCATTGGACTTGGAAACTGGATCAAAGAACATTTTATATTCATCAATTGCAAGTCATTCCTCGTACTAAGGTTGTCTTTTGTCTTCCCTTTAATTTCTAACAAAGTATGCAAGATATTTTCACAAACATTCTTTTCGATGTGCATCAAGTCAAGATTATGTCGTACATCATGATCAGCCCAATATGGTAATTAAAAAAATGCTTTTTTTCTTCCATGTGGATGCTTGTCTTTGTTCTCCCTGACGCCGCTTCTAGATTGTTGTGCGCTTGTTGTGCAACCAAATCCTCCTTACGGTAGGCAGTAAGAACATCCCTCAACTGATTATATAACTCGGCAACAGTTATACGTGTGATGTAGGCCTCAAAGTTCATCATTCCATCAAAGGAATGTCGATCACGTCGCATCCTATGCCCATCGGTAGGAAACGCCTATGGCCACAGTAACAAAATTTGTGCCCATTCTTCAAATAAGTAGAGTGCGTCCGCACACCACAATTTGGACATGCATTTCCCCTGCGTGTTGGCCATCCAGATAACATAGCATAACCTGAAAAATCACTTATGGTCCATAGTAAGGCAGCATGCATTTGGAAGTACTCTTCACTTACTGCGTCAAACGTTCTCACACCAATGTCCCACAATTCATTTAACTCAGCCACAAGAGGCTGCAGAAACACATCGATCCGATCGCCCAGCCCTTTAGGACCGTCTATTATTGTAGAAAAAAAGAACGATGGTTGTTTCATACATAGCCATGGGGTTAAATTATAGATCACGAGCACCAACGGCCAAATGCTATAATTAACACTCATGTTACCGAAAGGATTGAAGCCATCGGACGCCAACCCCAATCGTACATTTCGAATGTCACCGGAAAATAATGGATTTCGAAGATCAAACCTTTTCCATGCCAAACTATCAGTCGGGTGCCACAGAACGCCATCATCAACATGAGATTCAACGTGCCACCGCATTGATGATGTTGTTTTGAAGGACAAGAACATTCGTTGTAAATGGGGAATTAACGGAAAATACCTCATCCTTTTTTCAGACACAGTGGAGCTACCTTCGACAAACCTCCTTTCACCGCATACAACACATGCTTGAAGATCTGCATCCTCTCCGGTGAACAACATACAATTATCCATGCATACGTCCATAATCTGACAAGTAAATCCCAACTCTTTCATTATTTTGTTTGCCTCGTAGTAAGTCTTTGGCAACACCACATCATCGGGTATAACATCCCTCAACAAGGTTAGCAGAAGGTCAAATGATTTATTTGACCATTGACTCAAAACCTTCAAATACATAAGGCGTGCAATAAATGATAACCTACTCAATTTCTTACACCCCGGTATTAGGTCATTTTGCAGATCTTCTAACGTATTTTTCAATCCCTTCTTACTGCTCTCTAACCCATCTTCAGGATCCACATCATATATGTTTGCATGACTATTCTCCGGGTTTACATCGTGTGAGACAGCACACTCGCACAGAAGCAGCTCTAGTTCATCTTCCCATTGCGAAGTCATCGCATTGTCAACTAAGTTACTAGTGGTCGTCTCACCTCCAACTTTCCCATGCCAAGTCCACACCTTGTAAGAGGTGTCAAACCCGTACCTAATACAATGGAGCAAGATCTCCCTACGACTATAACTTGCACGATTGCCACAAATCTTACATGGGCAGTGTACAATTGATTCTAGTGTTTTTCCATTGAAAGCATAGCTTAAGAATTGGATCACTCCGCCTAAGTATCTATTGGAAGTGTAGTTGGATTCTTCTATCCAAGTCCTATGCATCTAATAAATAATTTTGAAAAGAATCCAATCAACCAGCTAGCAACGTAGTTATGGGGTAATGACAAAGCATTATATGCTAGTAATGTATGTATTGCACGTGCGACAATAATTTGACTTATCTATTTCAACTTTCAACTATATGTGTATATGAAGATGGCTATCCTTGTAAGAAAACTTGCATGTTCCTTAAACAGTTCATAACTCATCAATATGTTTTAGAATAAAACAACCGGTAATGTAATACAATGTATAGTGTGTAATGTATTAGCAAGCAAATAAGAAATATAGCCACTAGGTTAGGCCCCAAAAATATATACAAATGCAACAAACAGAAAAACAATGTCCATTCATTAGACATGCCAAAAACACCGTTATGAAACATGTGTTATTTAGTTGTTATAAACTAACTAATGAAAGGCCAACCGTACAAACGCTCTAATGGAAATACCATGTACTTGCAATGAGAGATAATAGGATTATTTGGAATATGTTCAGAAAATAATTTTCATAAAACAATATTTGTGGCAGACATGCAAGGTCCACAGACAACACAATTTGTAAACAAGACCCCATTTTCAGGCAACCAAAAATCGGATAAAAAAAAAAGACACTGAACAAAAATAAAAAACCAAAAACAAGACATATACCTGCAATGGTCGAATTTACAGTATCCAAAAAATCACAGCCCCTTAAAGCCAAAAATGATAGCAAAATCATGTTTGTTCGATCTCTCCAAAAGGAAACTTATCTCCAAACCCGTATATCCTATAAGTTCTAAGCATAGTGATGTACCACTATAATTCTCAGATTGTTATGAAGTTCAATTAACACCTTTAAAGGCCATAAAATAAAAGAGGAGGAATGAATAACGTACAGAAGTTGTTAGGCGGAAACAGGCACAGGTACAAGCACGGTCCTAAGCACCTTCACGCACAAATTTTTCTGTCATAGGGACCATTCCTATTGGAGAATCAAAAATACAGTGTGAATGCATAAGCAAGTATATATCTATTACTTGCAGTAATCACATAAGCTCAGAAGCATAGGGCAAATAAATTTTTAAAAATAAAAGTCAAATCCACTTTCAGAACCTCCAAAATAATGGCAATGAAAATTAAAATACACTTTTTTTTAATTTCTTATCTTCAGAATTGATAAAAGCATAGTGTTCCTTTAGCACACTAATCAAGGAAGACATTTTCATCCTGCCCTCCATTTGATCCCTTGGCATGAAATCGTGGTAAGTATGTGATAGACTCCCTAACATCCCAAGATTCTTCAGAAACATTACAACTCTGATATGAAGGGTCGATGTTCATGTAACAAAACCATGTTGTAGAAACATTTGCTCCACATTCACCATAAACTTTCCGCCACTTGTAACAAGCATCACACTGGACCCAAGATTCATTTAATTCCACACCATGTGTCACTTTATCTTCATTTCTATTCTTACTGAACAAGGTCCCTTGGGAAAAAACCCACTTGCTTTCCCAAAACCCTTTGTTTGCGACCCTTACATGCAGGCTTCTCTTTTTGGATCAGTTATTAGATGCAAGAGATGACTCATCATAAGCTTTCAGAAGACTTCTATTTGCATTGCCCCAGCTCCTCCCACACCTTGTAGAAAATATTATCTTTGTTGAAGACACGGATTTGATGAACCTTTTTGGTGTATGGGATCATTGAGCAGTGGATGCCAGAAGTTGCTCAGATGAACCAAGAAGCATTGAAGAAGTTAATGAATTCCTTATAGAAGTCTTCATTGCGGTGAGTTCATCAAGAGTTAATTGCCCCCTGGGAGTTTTCTTTCCCACATTATTCTTCAACTTTGACATGTTACTATTGGTAATTTGCTCAACGATGACTTCATAGTAGCCACACCTGTTATTCCCATCATGCGTGCACCAGATCAGTTGCACTGCATCTTGAGGTTCTGCCATTGTTCCCTTAGTCTTTAAAAGGGTAGTAATAGTCTTACCCAGTTTAGGTTCATCACAAGACATTCTTCCATAGAAATCCCTTGCTATAGGAATTTCGCCAACAACAATCTCACCAGAAACCATATTGATATTAAAGTAAAATCCATCTTCTGTTTTGAAATCCATGTATAAAGGATGTTGTAGAACTTTTGATTCCCTTTCATGCTTTAACATCCAATTAACTGCAACTTGCTGGTGGGATAGAGTTTAAGTTTCATGCATGGTATGATGGATGCTGCCAAATACCTTCAAGGATGGAATGTCAAAGAAATCTTAACAAGATTAACTCGGTTTTGCGTAGACAGGATATTAATTAAAATATCATCTGCAGGATCCAGATACCAGAATCAGAAGATCAGTCTTCTGGATTTACTTTTGAAAATTCACACTCTACTTTCTTTGACACAAGGCAAATTTTTAAAAGTTTCCTAAAGTTCAAAAAGCTTTTTGGACTTATGATTGTTTGGAGCAGTGCAATGTCATCTACAGCCAAGAACGTGGCAGTCCATTGCATGCCAAATACTATGATAATCATCACCACCAACTTTCACCGACTTGGATATCAAGCTTGTAGTTTCCCAATTGCAGCTCAAGTGTTTGAATAGGGTAAACCAATAATCTGGTGTTAGGAGTAGATTGAGACAAAAAAAAAACTACTTCTTAAACATATCTAAATAAGCTCTACACTATGAACAAGTTAATACGATTTGTTTTAACAAATCCTGCTAATCCCCTCCAAAAATTCAAACATTACAAATGCCAATAATCCCCTCCAGAAACTCGATGAAGCCCTGATACCACTTTTTTTATACCAATTACATTTGTGTAATTACTAACGAAATAATTTCAACCATAAAGTTATCCAAAAGCCACAAAATCGAATTTTAAGCAGTCAATGGGAAACTTAGGTTATAAATCCAAAAACCTATGTTGCAAAAACTTAATCGAACAAATGAACATCAACTAGATGAGTATTATACTATATAAAAAAATCCTAAAAAACACACAAACACGTTAGGTTAACCATCCTGGTTTTAACTCACCTGTCGATTTTGCGCCCTAAAACGTAGCCCGAACGACTGCCTTCGAACCTAGGTGATGAAGGTCGCCAGCTTTGGGTGATTTCTGGCTGCCTTCCACCAGCGACGGTGGAGCGAGGGTGAAGGCGACGGCAGAGCAAGGGTGGAGGCATCGGTGGCTCGAATCGAAGGCTACTCTGTAATTTCGTCGATGGAGAGAAACACTTAGAATATTTCGATTTGTTTGATTGTACATATAAACGTATACATAAATCATAGAAAGCGCATTCACACTTTTCATTTTTTTTTTTTTGGTAATAATTTTTATATTGAATTTATTTTAATTTTAAAAAATTACTATAATTTTTTTTAAGTCATGAAAAGCGTGTATTTAATTTTTTTTTAAAAAAATAATTTTAGATTTAATTTTCAAAATTTTTTTAATTTATAATATTTACTTTTTTGGTTATGGTGTGTCTTCGTAACAAATATATATAAGACGATTTTTTTGTCAAAACTGTATTGGGTACGGATAAATTTTCTAACAAAAGAAAAAAAAAAGTTGACCACTGAAGTTTTTTTTTTTGTCTCGACATAAATCATAACATAAACCACTTTTTGTGACGCAATTATTGTTACGGAACATTAGCCAGCAACAAAAGCTCTATTTTTTTTCTAGTGTATAGAATATTTGAATTCCAGATATATTATGTAACCTAGTTTGATTTTGGATTGCTACTTTACAACTCTGCTGCTCGGCCCGATCAACAAAATTTGGGCCTTTGCTTTGGGCTTTTGCCAAATTGAATCTGACCTAATTTTTAAAAAGCAATCATTTATAAAATAACAATTTGTAAATAAAAGTTTCTTGTATACAAAAAATTTGATATGAAATGTTATAAAAAAAAACAGGTAATGATTGTATTGTAACATAATACTCTTAATGTTTATCTTAGTTATTTATTATTTTTATTTTTATCAGTTTATTTGATTTATTAATTATATTTTATTTAAATTTTTATATTTATAAAAAACATAAATTAATTAAATGTATAAATTGACATGGATGGAGTAGAAAATAATTGTAAAAAAGAGGGCGTATTTGTTTGAATGTTTGAATTTTGAATTAAGATTTGAATATTAAAAATTTTAAATTATAATAATTATACAGTGTGATATAAATAAGTATAGATACCATATTTTTAATATAAAATTAATTTTTAATATAATATAAAAAATAAAAAATTAGTATTTAATTTCATATTTAAAAAAAAAAAAAATTTATGAATAGTAGAATTCGATCGAAATTCACCAAACGAACATAATTTTCGGGAGGAAAGAAAATTCATGTTCGGGTATTCCGTGTATCCTTATGCAACGAAAGAGGGCCTCGATTCTCAAACTTGAGGAGCGACCCGTTGGTTCACTCTAAACTTCGGCCCGATCCGATCCGACCCGCCCCGGGTCGGCTCCACCCGACCCAGCATCGCATGTTCCCCTTTCTCGTTTCCAGATCCATTCCAAGACCTGAACTAGATCTCTTCTTCTTCTTCTTCGTTCGTCTTCCTCCAAGACAGGGTTGGGCAGTCGTCGTCGTCGTCTTATCGTTCTTCAGTTTCTTCATCGGAGGCTTTGTAATTGTTAGTCAAATTCTTACACTACTTTTGAATTATTTTTTTGTTGTCATTTTTCAATGCCGTCTGCTATGCTACATAGTTTTTGAATTCTTTGATGTTAGTTGTAATTACTTATGTTGCTTTTAGATTGATTCGAAGGGTTGAAGTCTATTAGTTTCATTTTTGTTGGCCCTTTGCAGATTGGTGGGTTCACATTGTGTTCCTTTTGTTGGAATTGGTATATGTGCTTACTGTATTAGTTTTAATCTTATACATTTGTTGTGATTGAAGTTATCATGTGATTTTGTCTTCCTATTATTTTGAGATTGAAAAAGGAACAAAATAAAATGTCATCAAATGATTTGGGGTAAGATCCTATTTGTTATATCTCCAATTTTGTTAATTTCTGCGGTAAGTCATCAGTCAAGATTTAATTTGGGTTCCGATTCCAGATACCCTAATTCTTCTATCGTTCTAGGCGTAGCAGTAGCTTCTAAACATACCCTAATTTCTTCTTGTTATCAAACTTTCAATGCTAATACCAAATATTTTCTTCTATGGTAAATTTTCCTTTGAACAATTTGCTCAACTGTTCTTGATATTTTGGTATCTGTTTCTTTTTATACTATTCCACTTATTGGCTATCTAGAGCTGCATTGTATTGTGTAGTTCTAATGATGATCATGTTGTAGACAACAGTGGGTTCTACAACAATGTCTGCCGCTACCAACCAAAACCACCTTGGTGCTGGTGGTGTCCCTTGGAATCAAGATGCTGAATCTTTGTTTCGGATGAAACCTATCTCGGAGATCCGCAATGTTGAGGCAACCACCAGGAAGCAAATTGAGGAGAAGAGTGAGGAGCTCCGTCAATTGATTGGAAACCGATACCGTGATCTCATTGACTCTGCTGATTCCATCATGCTCATGAAGTCATCATGCGAATCCATCTCTGCAAATATCTCTGCCATCCACCATGCCATTCTCCACTCTCTCTCTTCGCCAGACGTTCCGAGGACCCCTTGTGTCCCTTCCAGCGTTGTGGGTTCCCACATATATGGAATTGCCTGCCGTGTCAAGTATCTGGTTGACACCCCGGAAAACATTTGGGGCTGCCTTGATGAATCCATGTTCCTTGAGTCCTCTGCTCGCTACATTCGTGCAAAGCATGTGCATTACAACTTGCTCAACTGCAGTGATAGCAAAAATGTGCTCTCTAATTTCCCTTTATTGCAGCACCAGTGGCAAATAGTGGAAGGTTTCAAGGTCCAGATCTCACAGAGGAGTCGCGAGAGATTGTTGGATCAGACCATTAATCTTGGAATCAGTGCCTATGCCGATGCATTGGCAGCTATTGCCATCATAGACGAACTGGAACCAAGAAATGTTTTATCCTTGTTTATAGATTCCAGAAAATCAATTATTCTGCAAAAGTTAAGTTCTTGCTGCCATGATGCCAATGCTGATAGTTCTGAAGTAATTTCTGTCTTCTGTGATGTTTTAAAGATAATTCAAATCACTATCTGTCAAGTGGGGGAGCTGTTCTTGCAGGTATTAACTGACATGCCTCTGTTTTACAAAACTGTTTTCGACACTCCTCCTGCTTCTCAATTGTTTGGGGGCATACCAAACCCTGATGAGGAAGTGAAGCAGTGGAATTCATTCAAAGACAAGTTGGAATCTGATATGGTATTGCTAGATCGTGATTTTATTTCCAAGACTTGTTCTGATTGGTTAAGGAACTGTGGAAAGGATATTATGAGCAAGATTAGTGGTAGGTATTTGATTGATGTTGTTGGCAGTGGGTATGAGCTTGCTCTAGCTGAGAAGTCAATAAGGGAAACCACGGATAGTAAACATGTTTTAGAAGGTAGTTTGGAGTGGCTGAAGAGTGTTTTTGGTTCTGAGATTGAGTTACCTTGGAAAAGAACACGCGAGCTTGTATTAGGTGAAGATTCAGATATATGGGATGATATCTTTGAAGATGCCTTTGTTAGAAGGATGAAGGGAATTATAAACTTGAAATTTGAAGAATTAGGTGGAGTTGTTGATGTGGTACAGTCAGTTCAATCAATAGCAAAAACGGCTGGTGATCATACCAATTCTGAAGATCTTCTGAGCAGATTTCAGACTGGTGGTGTTTGGTTTGTGCAGCCACCTGGTAAAAAGCCGGGCTCCATTTCTAGCTTAAAATCACACCAGATGCAAGAAAATGATTTCATTAGCTGTCTTGGCACTTACTTTGGTCCGGAAATTAGGCGAATTAAAGATTCTGTGGACAATTGCTGTCAGAATATCCTCATTGATCTCCTCCATTTCCTCGAGTCTCCCAATGCCCCACGTAGGTTAAAGGATTTGGGACCATACGTTCAAAACCGGTGTTACGAAAGTATGTCATTAATTTTGACACAAATAAAGGATGAGCTTGACCATCTACATAAAGAGCTAGAAAACAAAACTAAAGATGATACCTTGGCACTTCCTCCAGCTATACTTGTTGAAAGATCATTATTTATTGGTAGACTTCTCTTTGCATTTCAGAAGCATGCCAAGCACATACCTGTGATACTCGGTTCACCTAGATCATGGGCGAATGAAGTTGTGAGTAGCACTAATATTCCATCCTCAGTTGTGTTGAAGCATACCCGAAATGTCACTGACTCACCAATGGTTGATAGCCCAGTTAGACGAATACCTGATTCCAGCAGGAAACAAAGCTCTCTATTTACTACTGCTCTATTTGGAGTGGATGACAAGTTAAGTCCACAACTTGAGGAACTAAGACAGACAACCCAAGAGCTTTATATCAGAGCATACAGTCTTTGGATTTCTTGGGTTTCGGATGAACTTTCAAATATGCTCTCTGCAAATCTGAAACAGGATGATGCATTGTCATCAACAGCTCCTGTCAGAGTAAGTCTATCATAATCAAAGCCTTCTCAATTGGCCAGTGATGCCTGCCAATGTAAATGGAACACTATTAAGTTTTACACCATTATTTAAAATAGGACGATTTCATCCTGAATTTGCAAACTCAAAAACATTATTTTCAATTTGGGAAAAATAAGAAGTCAAACTTATTTCTTGCAACAAAAGCATTAACACAATAAAGTGATTTGTTGCCTCTAAATTGTTTCAATTACTATTCAGGGTTGGGAGGAGACAGTAGTTAAGCAGCAAGATCAGGCAAATGAAAGCCCGTCAGAGATGAAGATATCTCTTCCATCTATGCCTTCTCTGTATGTGACTTCATTTTTATTTTATGCATGTGAAGAGATCCATCGTGTTGGTGGCCATGTACTTGATAAATCAATTTTGCAGAATTTTGCAGCAAGGCTTTTTGATAAGGTATTGATCAGAACTATGAATATTTTCACTGTCTTTAATTTGATTTTTTATACAGCTTGTAACTTGAAATCGGCTATTAATCACATGACCTCGGCTAGAGAGATATATGTATGTAGAAGAAATAGTAAGACTACTTTGTTGTGTTCTCCAGTACATTTTGAAAATTTTGGACCCTCCCATTTCATTTCTTTTTGACACATTTGGTGAAGAATAGGATGTCAAGTGTTGATTGATCTCTTGCATTTAATAAATCCAAAGTTTGATTGTTTTAGTTGACTTCTGTGTGCTTAACTGCGTGGTAATTGAGTTTGTTTTATCTGAATAATGGTGTCCTTTATATTTATGATATGGAACATACCAGGTATCAGTCATAGTTTTCTGCACCTTCTTATACTATTTAAGATTTCCATTTATTTATGGGAAGAGAGCTTCTATGTAATTTCCAGTTATGAAATAGAGTTTATTATTCATAGGTTCTACCTTTTTTCTTATGGATCAAGTGCGTATTTAGGTTTGCATTCTGTAGTTTGGAATGCTATGTACATGAAAAATTAATCGCAATTCTGTTCCTTGAAAGACTTGATTGTCTTATTATTTAAACACATAAATCCTTAAAATTCAAACATTATGTTAATGCAAAATAAAACCAGTATTTATGAACATATAGTCATTTTTATATGTTCACCTCTTAAAACGTAGTTAGTTATTAGCCTTGTATATTGTCGCGCTATTAGTTATTATATAATAACATACAAACACAAAACAAGCAAATCATATGGATGTTATCATTATCTTCCATTGTTCATTATTGTTTCACCTCACAAAAACTCTTCAAAGAGAAGTCTAAGTTTCTCTGATATGTTCTTCATGCTGAAGTGCTTTTGTTTCTGGGGTTCTAGTTCCGCACATAAATACTTTCAATTTGAAGAATAGTCTTCCCCCGTGTTTTATATTACCTTGATATATATGATTCCAACTGCCTTTTTGCTTTCATAGGTTGTTGGAATATATGGAGGTTTTCTGTCAACTGATGAAAGTCATGCATCTAAAGCATCGGAGAAAGGTGTCCTGCAAATTTTATTTGATTTGAAATTTGCTGCTGATATTCTTTCTGGAGGTAATGCTAATGTGAACGATGAATTATCGGAGGTTCCGAATGTGAAATCTTCTTATAGAAGGAAACCAAAAGCACAACAACCTAAATCTATTGTAGATGAGCGAATTAAACAGTTGTTAAATCGCCTTTCACAACGGTTGGATCCCATAGATTGGCTCACGTAAGTTGCTAGAACTAGGTTATTTTCTTTTACCTTTTATATTATTTTTTGGTATTTTTTTCCCATGACAAGAGACAACTGTACCACCATGCATATGCTTTATCAATCTGTCAATAAACAAGATGTATTGCAATTATCGTATTTGTTAGGACCTTCGGTTGTCTTTACTTCCTCCCTTGGAGCTTCTAATCTTTTCTGAAAATCTCATGTATGTAATGTTTATTTGATATATTTATCTTACTTGCTTTTGATTTTATGTAAATGAATATAGGTATGAACCATACTTGTGGGAGAATGAGCGGCAAGCATGCCTTAGACATGGTGTTCTCTTTGGGTTCTTTGTGCAACTCAATAGAACACATAAGGACACCGTTCAGAAGCTGCCCACCAATTCTGAATCAAATATTATGCGCTGCTCCACAGTACCACGTTTTAAATATCTTCCCATCAGGTGGTCATCTGAAATGTCTTTATGCATATATTGTTTTACATTGACTTTATTGAGGCTCACTAACAATTATGTAATTTTTTCAATTTAACTTCTACATGCAAGATTCCACCTTATTCTTTAGAATGGCAGATGCTATACTGCTCTAGGAATCTCACATACTGAATATAATTAGGGAATAGGAAATGTTTCTAAGATTATCCTCTTTTTTTTTTCTGACTTTGGTTTACTGGATATTTATAAGGGCTTTTTTTTTTTTTTTTTTATTTCTGTTGATATCCAGTGCTCCAGCATTGTCCGTGAAGAATGCAGCCAGGACATCAGCATCATCTTTGGATGATGTTTATTCAAGGAATACATGGAAGAGTTATGCAGCTGATGAGATAACTCGAAATTCTAATGTTGATGAGGACTCTAGTTTAGGGGTGGCTGCACCATTTTTGAAGTCCTTTATGCAGGTGTTAATCTCCTTCCAAACTTCCATATGCATTTTGGAACAATGTGCCATGGAAGTATACCCTGTCTAAAAACATTATATTTATTGCTAAGACTTTTCTTATCTATGCTATCAGCTTTAATGATGCTTTTATTTTTTGTGTCACGAGAACGTTATTATTTACAGTCATAAGTTGGTAAATGGTGCTATCTCTTTGGTACTGGAAAATAAGTTCTTATGTACTGATGATTTTGGTCTGTACTAGTTTGCACATGGTGTATCTATTTACTTCTTTAGTGACAGAGTTAGCTCTATATTTAGTCTCATATATTAATGAAAGGCTGTATCTTGTCTGTCAACAGAGAGCTGTTATTTTTTTAAACTGCTTTTGGTCCTAGTTCTCTTTTACTTTTCGTTTTTTTTTTTTTTGTTTTCTTTTACCAATTAAAGATTGAACAATATGTCCCATTCTCTAGATGTTAAACTATTTGCTCAATATGTCAGGTTGGAAGCAGATTTGGGGAGAGCACCCTGAAGCTAGGATCAATATTAACAGATGGGCAAGTAGGAAGGTTTGGTGACATATTACCTGTACAAGCAGCTGGTCTCCTTTCATCCTTCACAGCTGGCAGATCAGATTCTTGACAAATGCAGCTATTACTCTGGAATACTCCTAGATACCATAGTTTCATATTTCCTCTTTCTCCTCACGAGGCAACATGACACCTGATAAATGAAGTCATATTCTTTGGTAAGTTACTAAATAAAGATCCTTGAATGTGAGATGTTCTCTCAAACACTAAAACATGTCTCGTGCACATTATGAATTATATTTCAAATCTTCCTCTTGTTTTCCCTGTTCAGTTTCTTCTGGGTAAGATTTTTTTTGGCTAATGGTTCTGCATATTTGGTCTGTTAAAACCTTGACTCCAAAGTGGTTGGTCATAAAATGTAGTGAGGGCTACGGTCTGATTTTTGCTTTTAAGTTTACGTGTGATTTTGATGTATGAATTTGTCAATTTCTATGGCACCCCAAATTGATGGTAATTTCTATTTCATGAGATGTGGTGCATATGCTTTTGACTAGATGTGCAATTCTCCCCTGAATGTCTCGAGAGTGACCCTAAAATTGCCTTCCGTTGGATCTATGGGAATTGCCCGCCTCGGATGCGTAACCATGAGATTAATAAGCTTCAATCTCTCAGCTAGATTCCATTTCATTGCCTTTGTTCATGCACCTCGTTTCTTCCAATGGATTGGCTTTTTTTTTTTTTTTTCGTTTAAGGTGGTGCCACAGGACATGTAGTTTGGACTTTCCCTGAAAACTCCACCTCCCGGTTTTGCCCGCCTTCTGTTTTTTTTTTTTTTTTTAAAGTAAATTTTATGTAGTTCTTTCTCATGAAATGCATTATTGCTCGCTTACTTTATGTTGATTAGAATAACATCTTTGACATTTGTTCACCCTGTAATTTCACTTGCTGCTTCGAATTTTTCCATGTATTTGGATCTCAGGTGCTGGAATACCTATGTTGAATGAGATGCCCTTCCTCACCTCACCTCACCTCACCTCACTCTGGCTATGTGCTACCATTATGAATCTTATGATACAGTGCTTTTGTGCATTATAGTCTTTTCAGGTCATACATTATTGAGTCTATACCAACCTGAGCCCCAGCGGTGTGTAAGATGTGGCTGTTTATGGGAACATCAGCATCATGTTCTTCCTGATGTGTAAATGTAGCCATTGGGATAAGAAGCTTACCTACAGTGTTGCTGCTATGTTCAAATACATGCATATATATATATATACATATGTATATATATTTGCAGTTGAGGATATTGACTAGTGCTTCTCATGATGTAATTTGTTTTTGTTAATGGAAAAATTTGTGGACGATGTACATGGCATGCCAGTATTAGTATGTTCAGTCCCCTATCACTATACAGTGTTATTGCAGAATGCATTATTTTTAAGTTTTTGGATTTGTTCACTTCTACTTATATTTTTGGTCCCTGTTTTACTTATGTAGCTCATTAATTCTTTTTATCTGCAATCATTATCTATTTGTTTACATGTTCTATTTAGTACTTTGTTACTAGTTTGAAAGTTCTCCTTTTCTTTTGTCCCTGTTTTACATAAGTGGCTCGTTAACTCTTTTTTATATACAATCATACTTTCTGTGCCATTATGATTTGTTGTCTGTGTACACATTTTATGTAATAGTATGTAAATTTCTATTCTAGTTTATTATGCTAGAGTTTTGTTTTGTATTTTCATGTTTAGTCTTTTTTGCAGAGAGTATCAACAACTTTCTCACTCTTTTGAAGTTGATGGATCGTCTTTTGCAATTTGACAGGTGACATTTATTCATTGCTGGTTGCAGAAAATACATGAAGTTAATGTATATTTCAATACTTAGAATATTCAATTTTGTTGCCGTCTGTTCATGCTATTTAAATTTAGAGGATAATATACATGTTGATCAAACAGTATGATTTGTGAATTGTCGGGGGTTTACTATATTCTCAATAATAATAAAATTATATAATTTAATAAATAAATATACATAGCTTGGTATCTTGCTAATGAGTTGTCCTATACCTTGCTTCTTGCAACCTTCTTTCCTATGCATTTCTTAGGGGCTTATGAAATCAAAGCTGAAGAATATAGTTATAGCTTTTTACCTTTCCTTCAGAGGGACTTAAGAACATATAGACACTGAGTCTATCCTACTAGTTAAATAGGCCTAAAATTAATTATAAGTAATGTGTCTAATTTAACTCTTCCTCAAGTTGGAGCTTACAAGCCATATGATCCAAACTTGTTACATATGAACTCGGATCTAGAACTTCAAAAGTCTTTTGTTTTGATGTCTCGAAGTTGATCATCTAAAGACATACATTTGGAGTCTATATACCTAAATAATACGTTTTCTCTGATGAAGTAATTAAGTATGTTTTAGTATACTTTGTTTGTTCATGAAACATTAAGGTTTTTTTTTCCCTTTTTTTTATATTTATTATTATTACGAGATATTGTGGAGCATTGTCTAATTATCACAATTTCATTTTTATCACCTCACATAATATGTGTTTACAAAGTAATTGTTTAATCTAGATAAGATCACATGTAGCTAAGCCCATGACATGAAATTCAACTTCAACACTAAACGTGCAACACACCATATCTTATGGACATCCTATCCAATCAACATTTAAATATTCAAGTATCCAACAATTTTTATTATTTCCTTTTGATAACGTAGGAATCTGTAATCGCGTAGAGTACGCATTAGGTAAACTCCCGACCGAATCTAATACCCTTCAAACTAGGCCTAAGCCTGATAAGGTAAGTCACAACTGACAATTTTTGAGTGGCTCTATTTTGTATATAACAATCACATTTTTTGGAAGACCCTATAATGTCGTGCACATGTACATAGACGTGTTTTTCAATGAGAAATTTGGAGATTGATATATGGTCAGTGGAATTGGAATCAAGAACCCATGGAATAAGGAAAGACTAGGAGCATCCATTGCATTATTCTCTCTACTTCATTATTTTTTTATCTCTCTTGTCCATGTGATATTTATCTCCATATTTAAATTATTATTTTTATTTCTTTATCACCCATTATATAATTACATTCAACACATTATCTTCTCTTTTATAGGACCCACAATAATTTATTTATTTATTTATTTATACATATTTCTTTTTATTGTCTAATAATATTTTTATACTTATATTTTAATTTTTAACTATTAATCTATATAAATTTAATATATAACATATAATTTACTATTTTAAAAATTGAAATTATTTGAAATAAATCAACATATATATATTTATAGATAATTTATGTTAAATTTAAAAATTTTAAATTTCAAAATTTTTTGAATATTATTTAATTACTTTTTCTTTTATTTTTGTTGAAGGTAACCAGTTCTAGATAAACCTAATAAATAGGTAATAATTGTATTTCTTACTAAAAGTACTGAGAAATGTAACTGGTTCTTATAGTAAAAACTAAAAAAACAATAGTAAAAATAATAAAAAAAAAAGTGATTGTAACGTATGCTCAAAGAAACATCAACAATGTAAACATGGTCATTAGATTAGGTAGTAGAACCAATCGAAGATGATTGCTAAGATGCCTGGAATTGAAGGAAGGCTCCAGTCGAGTCGGAACGCCTATGTTTGTCGTACGAAGAGGATGGTTACGTTGGCTTTAACAAATTTTTTGAGCATTACTCATTCACCATGACTCCTATTATGATTATCCAAACGGGGATTATGAAAAACTAAATCAAAGCCATTTTTTGAAGCAATAACAATAAACATAAGGGAAGTCACAAACGTGAAAAAAAAAATATAATCCAGCATATTGTACTCAATTCTTGATCTATATAATTAATTGAGAGTGTACAATATCACATCATGTAATAAATAGATAAGTATACAGAGTTGAATCAATAAAGAATTAAAATGTACTCATTCATATTTTGAACTTTTTGTGCTATTTAAAGATTAATTCATTTGAGTAAATTCAATAGATATTTAGTTGACAATTTTAAGCTCTAAATTACATAAAATTTAATATTATTAAATAAATTCTATGAAATTGAAAATTGTACGAAGATGACTTACAAACTTCTTAGCCCGCTGTCTCTTTTCTAGCTCAATGAAAAGCAACAAACGAAGCTAACATAGTCAGTGCAGCCAGCGAGTTCAAAGCATGACGAAATGGTCCATTGAATCAAATGTACAAGGGGAGAATTGGCCATTCAATCTTGTGAACTAATTGAAACCGAAATAGAAAAAAGAGATATGAACGGAGAGGAATAACCAATCGATGAAAGAACATGAAACCATTCTCTTTCAATAGAGGTGCGAGAAAGGGTTGGGGGCAATGAAGCCTGCTATATTAATATGTTATGCTTCCTATCTTCCAACATGAAAATCGTTCTCAAGTTAAAGTGTATAAATTTACAATATTTTCATAGAGGGTACTAATTAAACGACAATTAAAATTTTATTGTTAAGTTTAGAATATAATACTTCAAAGTTATGAATTGTGTCCCATCAACTTCAACATTATGTCCATATTCTATTAAAGCTATTGAACAATAAATATATACATGAATTTAATACAAACTAAGAGTATTTAAGAAAAATCAAGATTTATAAGTTAAAAGGGGTATATTCTATTGATATTTTATTAAGTATTATTTTTTTTAACTTAAAGAGCCCGTAGATTTATGAGATTCACATACTTCATGCATAATTTAACTGATCTTTTTTTTTTTTCTTTTAACATGAATTTTAAAAAATTTGACGAGATTATTTATTGATTTACTTAAATTTCCATAGAATTGATAAGATTGTTGAATACAAATGTGGTGTGTTTAGTTGGAGGTATGGATTTTGGGTTTTGACGTGAATAGTAAAAATTTTAAATTGAAATCATTGTTACGTGATATAAATAGGCTATTGTTTATTTTGAATTTACTATTATTATTTAGTATAATATTAAAAAAATAAGGCATTCTGGTTTTATATTTAAGGGAGACAAATTTTATGAATAGTGAACATGCACTCAAATCATTCATGATTTAACAAAAATGCCAAAGAAAAAAAATATTAGTTCCAAAAATATATTATTATTATTATTATTATTATTATTATTATTATTCTCATCTTTATTTTCAGCATCTTAATTTACATTACTGTCATATTTTAGTTTTATTTTTCATATAGCATTAACAATATTCATTTTTCATGCATTAGCTCTTGTTCTTCGTTGTAGTTTATTTTAAAAAAATAAGTTCTAATTTTTCAGATTTCACGTTGAGATATCACTACAAGAAAAAATCATTTTTGTAATAAAATTTTTTTGTCTCTAAATCTACTTTTTCCGTTACTAATGACATTAGAGACGGAATTAGGAACAGAATTACGTTAGCTACGTGAACTTTAGGGACGAAATTTTGTTACAAATATATTATTTTTTTGTAGTGTATGGTGAATCTTAATTTTTTTTATATTTAATTGAAAAGTCACTGGATATAAAATTATATAATCAAATAAAAGCCTACATTAACTCGTATTTGAAATTAGATGAGTTTTAATAATTATGAATTGCAATTTAAAAATATAAAAAATTCTCAATCACATTCTTAATGATGTATAACGAAGATTGATGGTACATTTTGGGAGAATATTCTATTTATTAATAATGAAGTCGGTGTCTATTTATACACTTGTACAAAAAGTGATAAACTCAAATAATAGCAATGTAATCAACTAAAAATGATTAAACAATAACAACATATCTAGTAGATATATCAAAATAATAATATCAATTAATTAATATTAATCAAAATATCCATTTAAAATATATATTTCAATATCTCGCTTCAAACCGGAGTTGGTGTTGTAAAAACCAACTCGAGTAGACAAAAAAAAAAAAAAATCGAAGGTGGAATTTGATTTAAATATAGATAGATTTCATAGTTGGACATTAATATTTGTAGCTTTCAAATCGATTCTTTGTCATGGCGGTGCTAAATCTTAAGAAATTAAGATTTTAAACAAATTAAAAGTTTTAGTGGTAGAAATTCTTTGTTGTTGGAACACTGGCGATCCTCTATTGGATGTGGTGGTGCTAAACTTTAATAAAATTTTGACAAAATTAAGATTAACTCAACTTATACTTTTCTTGAATAATGAAACCCACCACAGTAACCTTGCAATCTGGCAAATTCACACTAAAAAAAAAATATATATTTGTAACGGAATTTCGTCCCTAAAGTTCACGTATCTAACGTAATTCCGTTTCTATTTCCGTCTCTAACGTCATTAGTAACGGAAAAAATAGATTTAGAAACAATAAAATTTTGTTACAAAAATAATTTTTTCTTGTAGTGTCAATAGACCGTCGAAAGAGAGATTAACTTTTAAGGGGAAAAGGAAATGGTAGAAGCAAAAATAGAAAATAATTTAAATTATATTTGAATAAATTTTTAAAAGCAATATTTTAGAAAAAAATATGTATTTGAATATAATATAATTAAACGTATTTTAAAATTAATAATAAAATACTTTACTTTTGATGATATTTTTTTAGTATAAATATATGCAAACTAGTTTTTGAGATCATTTTGAAATTTTTGATTTTTTTTATTTATTTATATAATTTATCAATAATTTTTTTTATGTGTTTGTTTTTTTTAAAAATTTGAATTGATTTTATGGTATATTAAATGTTTGTTGATGCACCTTTTTTTTTTCTTTTTTTTTTTATTGATGTTTATATTTCATTAATTAGTTGCATGTAGTTATTATAAAATTGATAGAAAATTACTTAAACATTTATTTTGATATTATTTGTAAATTCAAAAAATTATATAGTAGGGTATATTTGTTTGAAGATTTGGATTTTAGGATTGAGTTTTGAATAATAAAATTTTTGAATTGAAATAGTTGTATGATGTGATGTAAAGAAGTATTTGTTTGATGTTTTGAATGTAAAATTAATTTCTAGTATAATATAATATAAAATAGGTGTTTGATTTGATATTTTTAATGAGAAAAAAAATTAATGAATACTAGAAATTTGATCAAATTCTCTAACTTTGTAAATAAAAAGACTGAATTGTAAATGAATTATTGTAGCTTATTTTGCAAAAATAAAAAATTATATTGTAAATTTTCTAGATAAAATATATAATTAGAGATTATTAAAGTGAGAGGAGGTAAAAAAAAAAAGTAGGCCGGGATCAAATTTTTTATTCCAAAACTTCTCTATTTCTTCTGTTCCAACAAATCAAATCATGACATTTAGAGGAGAGAGAATATAAGTAAGATAATTTAGAATGGTAGCCGTTAGAGTATTGAACAACACATTGTGCTGTTAGACAATACATAATATTATTATAAATAACATACTGTATATGTTAATATAATATAAATACAGCACATGATTAAAACAAACATGCTATAGTCTCAGACAACACAAAGTATTACTACAGACAACATATTGTATATGTTAATATAATACAAATATAACATATGAACTAATAGCATATGTTATAGTATTATACATCACACACAACAGTTGATTTTAGCACAAACATAAAATTAGATTATATTTTTCTTTATGTTTCAAAATTATTTCATTTTTATTATTTTTTTTGTCTGAAAATATTATACTTTTAGATGATTTTTTTTTTTTTAAATAATCTCTTTTTATTTTTAGTAAATTTATCAATTTTAAATACATTATTTATTATTTTCATAGTAGTATTATTGGTATTTTAAATTTTTTAAACATTATATGTTAATAAAATATATATAATATGGATATTACTTTGTAAATAACAAAAATTTATATAATACAAATAAATAATTAATTTATTTATTTATTTATCATTATCGTAAATTTGTTTTATAAAAAATTAAGGTTGTGTTTTCTTTGGGTTTTACTACAAGTTTTTACTATTCAATTTTTCTTTTCTCTTTAAAAACATCACATCTAACAATTACTTTTTTTTATATTATACTCCAAATTTATTTTACATTCAAACTTCTATTTATATCACATCAAACAACTATTTAAATTTAACTTTTTACTATTCAAAAATCCAAACCCAAAACTCAAACCCGCAGACAAACACCCTAAAACTCCCTATTTTTTATAAAACAAATTATGATAATGATAAATAAATAAATAAATATATTATTTATTTATATTATATAAAATTTTGTTATTTACAAACTAATATTCATATTATATATATTTTATTAACATATATTGTTTAAAATATTTAAAAATACCAACAATACTACCATATGAAAATAATAAATAAATGGATTTAAAATTGATAAATTTATCAAAAGTAAAAAAAAAAATTATCTTTTATAAAAGAAAAAAAAATCATCTAAAAGTATAATATTTTCAAAAAAAAATAAAATAAAATAATTTTGAAACATAAAAAAATATAATCTAATTTTAAATGTTAGTAAATACTATAAATTAAGTTTAATGTATATATAACTAAATATATTAAATTAAAAGAATAAATGAATATCATAGATAAATTATTAAAATACCCACACTCATTATTATACAACTCACAGTCCGCAACCAATTTGATTTTGTGGCTTGAATTTGAACACGGGCGTGTTCAATTTAAACACCCCCGTGTTGGTATAAATATAGTAATATATTACTTAATTGAAATAACACGCCCGTGTTATTAACACGGGCATGTTTGTTCTAAATCACTTATCACATCAGGTTCCGTTATGGCTACGTCAACTTATTTCGTTGAAATTTTAACAGTGGGACTAAAAATGATAATTTACTTTTTGGATAGAATTAATTTTTATATTTGTTTTTTTGAATGAGACCAAAAAAAAAAAAAAAAAAGAGTTTAATTGAGACTAAAATTGATTTTTATTCCTTATTTAATTACTCTCATTAGTGTGGTCAGAATATTGAGTCAAGATGGATAGTTGTGATATAGACAAAGCGGATGATGTGGTTGATTTAGTGGTTTCTACCCAACCAATTAACAAGTTTCGGGCAATGTCAAATAACTCAGCTCCGTGTACTGACAGTAGCCCGATTTTGACTCTACTTCAAAATTTATTTCCGAGCCAATATAATATGAATTTTAGTGCTCCGTTCAACCCTATACAATAATACCCCCATCAAAATGATTCTATGTTATACACCAATATATGAAATTTTCTTCGACCTTGAGGGTCACCTCAAGGTCCATATCATGACACGCAGGCATCACAGGCCAACACATTTCTCTTAAATTCTTTCCCACCGTTGCAACCTTCAATTCTTTCCCAGAGTATCCCCAGTGTAAGGTCGTGCCTGAAACAAACCAGTGTACAAGTAAGAATTGGAGCACGGAAGAGGATGTCGAGTTGACCACTGCATAGTGTAATTCGACGACGGATGCACAAGTTGGTGTTCAACAAAAAAAAAAAGGTTATGGGAGAGGATATTCGAGAATTTTATTATGCTTATGCAAGACAACCATGGATTTAGAAGATCAGAAAATAAGAGAACACCGGGAGCCTGTGAGAACTGGATGCTGGAAATTCGATCCAAATGTAGTATATGGTCGGCCATACGATTTCAGGCAGAGCCAAGTTATCGGAGCCGATGGAGCCTAATTTCGTAAGTATTTTATTAAATTCCTCTAAATGCATTCTATGTTTCATTTATTTTTTAAACCCCTAATAAGAGTGCTTTTATAGGAAGATTATTGTCACACAATATTTAAAGACAAACACGACAAGAAGTTCAAGTGTGAAGCATACTAAAAAATATTAAAAGATCAAACGAAATGGATGGAGTATGGTGGTGAAAAAAAAAAGAAAACAGGAACAATGGGAGGTCTAGTAGTTATAAGAAATCTACCGTAGAGTAGAAAATATGATTCAAAGACCACTTGAAGTCCGGTCCCCAGCCTCTCCCACTGACGGTAGTGCGAGTCGGATACCTACAAATACCAATCCATCAGTTCAAGTTTCAATTAAGCCAGAATTAGAAAGTTCTGTTGTAATTGATCTGAAGCATTCATTGGGAGCTAAAAAGGCTAAGGCTTTTAACAAATCAAACTATCAGCGGCAACAAAGCATAAAGATTCACGAAGAGTTTCAAGCATCAATTGCTTGAACAATTATTTTCAATTTAATGAAACTTGAATATGCAAGTAATGAGAGATAGTCAATAATTGTGGAGGAAAATTGAAGAGGAGAAATGCCGAAGGATGAGGAATATAAGGCTGTGTCTGAAGATCTAAAAAGAAAGTGCTTTCACACATTTATGGTTCAATGTTTGGATATTTTTTATTTCTTACACTACAAGAAATTATCAATTTTTTAACGAGGTTTTTTCGTTCCTAAATTCACTTTTTTCGTTACTAATGATATTAGAGACGGAATTAGAGATGAAATTACGTTAGCTATGTGAACTTTATGAACGGAATTCCGTTAGAAATATACTATTTTTTTTGTAGTGTTATTATGTTAAACATGTTTACTATTACATTGTATGATACTTTCATGATTCAATAAACACAAGGAATATGCGAATATAGTTAAAAGCTTGAAAACATGGGTGACAGTATGATGGCTTCAATAGAAAAATTGGAAGAATTAGATCGGGACAACATATGCACCGCACCGATTACGAAGAGAGACTGTACAAAATGCAAGAGGGGTAAGTGGAATACTACACATGTGGTTACAATAGTATGCATTTTTGGTATTTTTAATCTATTGCCCTTCTTTATTTATATTGGAGTCAAATTTGGTTTTGGCGATATCGAACGAATACTGAACCTCTTTGAGATGAAGAGTCTTTTTTGTGCAATTCCAAATGTGAAGTGAGTGAAGTCGCGGTATTTATTTCACTCAAGATTGGGTCTCTCACACTGCTGACACCGTCAAGTCCACTCTCAATTCACGGCGGTTTTATCCACCCCATACTTAAATGCAAGCTGACAGTCTTAGTCTCGTCAGTCCCTTCGAATGTACTAAAACATACACTTTTCTCATTCAATATGATTTTGTCTATTTCAGGATTGAAATCAATTCTTCAAGCGATTGACGAAGCAAGTCCTCCAAATGCCGATGGGACCGATACAAGTGGTAGGCGTGCTAAGAGTAGGAAAAGACTTTTCAATGAGACCAGTGGTTCAGAATATTCCTCTGAGAAATGAACAACGTAATGTGTATTTCTGATGCAAGATATCTATATTTTGTACTTAATTGTGCACTTTTAATGTTGGTATTGTGTCTGTTTCCGCTTGTAGAAAGTTTATATTTATGTTTGGTTTTTAGTTGTGTGAATTATGGAGGAAGATGCGGTATTATATGGTGTGCTGCATTGTTTTCCTACTGTGATCATTTTGGTTTGTTTTCCTACTATGAAGGTAATGCATGCACTTATTTTTAGGATATGTTTGTTTGTTTTGACAGTATATTAATGCAGATAGTCTTGTAGTATAATAGGGTTGGAACATATCAACTATTAGAGTTTCCAGTTTTCATCTTGCTTATTTATGTCTATATCTTCCCAGTATATATTTGCACGCATAAGTAATTCTAATCATAATTGTAATTATATTTTGTATTAATATATACTATATTTTTGTTAATATTATTTTAAAAATGTTTCTGTAATTTTATTTTATTTTATTTTTTTGGTGAAGGAACAAGCCCAATTAATAATATTAAATCAAAAGTTGGACTTATCATCATCATTTCAAAATTTGAAACATGTCATCTAATGTGTCCAAACCATACTAGTTATTTTCCTCACTGTTTATTCTAATAACAAATGAAATGACATTTAGTTGAAGATCATCATATATACATTTCCAGTTCAAAAGAGCGAAATATGTGGAAATTTTACTGATCCAACTCTACTAAATATAAATATCCATCCGAACAAAAAGAACAAAAGTTGAACCTTTTGGTCCCTACATGATACCAAAACCATACCAGCGTGAAGACCAACAACTTTTACTAACACAGTCAGGCACATAAATATATATATATATATAATATTCATCCGAACAAACAGAACAGAAGTTGAACCTATGGCTTCCTCCCTGGGAAGATAATCTCAAAAAGTCACATTTCGTTGCGACTTGTGCCACAACACGTTAATCGCTAAAAATTTTCTCCCCCTGACACCATTCACTGGTGGGTAATGAGATCATCTCGTAGCCTTGAATTAGCTTATGTGTTGTGGATTTTACCCATCCTAATGAGATATAGTAGACGAACATCTTCAACTGATTGCGCCTGCTTGGGTAAAGTTTGATCCTCATCGATTGAAGGTATCCATTTGGATAGGTTGTGGCATATATATATATATATATATCATCTGTTAGATAGTACGGTAAGTTATAATGTCTCCTATTCCTCATATTCAACTGGCGGTGCTGTTCCATCCATATACCTATTGAACAAAGGCGAATGATCTAAAACCGTAACATCACTATTACTCCCAAACATTCTAAAAAATGCATGTCAAATCCACAAATAGTGGAAGGCAATTGCCTCTAATAATACTATTAGATACCCGTAGCGTCCATTGTACTGGCCTCTCTAAGCCACGAGACACGCATCCCATTGCCAATGCATGGAATCTAAAGATCCGATCATCCTCGGAAATCCACGTTCTTTGTTTTCAGCTAGCAGGTTTGTTGTGTCCTCATTGTTCAAATCACGTAAATATTGTTCTTTAAAGATTCTAATAACCGAGCAACCGAAGCAACTTTGATCCGAGCTCTCTTGCATTTTTTTTAGTTGAAATTGTAAAAGGGTTATACAATCAAATGTGATTCAATGCTTAATTAATTTGTTTGGTTTCTATTCTACAGTACCAGATGAGATTGAAAACCCAAACTTAGCCAACATTAACTTCTCTAAAGAACTTAATTGAATCCTGTTTAAACTCTACCAAAAAAATATCTATTAAATACTTATAATTGCTATTAATTTGTTACCCTTTTTATTGTAAGTTCATTTCAGATATAGGCATAGAAATCCAAGAGGTACAGGTGATAAGAGGAGGTGTTACTGATATTTTTAAGTTTTCTTATAGATATATATAGTGATCGTTTGTTTACTTGAGTAATCTTAGGATTTTCATGGTGATGTGTTTGTCAACTTGGGTTATCCTATTGTTGTCCTTCTAAATCAATCATACTTACCAAGTCCAGTATTACTTACAAATGACTTCACAATGGTGCCTGGCTTGGTTGTTGCTGTTGCAAGCCTCTTCAAAGGTCAAATGGCTTTGCTAATTAGTTTCTTTTCTGTTGAGCTCATGGATAATGATGAGGAATTATTGTTAGAGGTTTGGATTGGATGGCTATAATGTTAAACTTCTTCTGGCTTCATCACTCTGGCATCTCTACATTATTTATCTTATTGTATTTTGTCACCAAAACATTTGGTTCAAGTCTTTATCGGTCGTTATATGGCCAATGAACTAAATCCATGTAAGGAAAAGAAGCGCTGCAGTTACAAATAGAACAATGGAGACATAAGATCAAGTTCAAGAACCGTTTGGTAAGCAAATGCTGTAGAATCTAACATGGAGTTTTTGGGTGTTAGGCATCATAAACTTATTGAATCTCATCTGGTTAATACACTATGTCTGGCCACTTTTAGCTCCGACCGAATTATTAAAGTCATTTATGTAGTTGTACAATTCTATTTTTGTTCTTTCAGATATTACAATCTCGTAAGCTACGCTATATAAACTCTGTATGTCATGCTTGATCAAAAAAGCATCAGAAGAATTTACATTCAGGATTATACACATGAAGTCCTATCCCGAGCTGCTGCTTAACACCTAAAACAGTTAGGGATGGGTGATTATGTGTTATGCTGCAGCTAATATCCTTCCAGGAGTGAAAGGGATTCCATCCATCCACAAGGAGGCGTAAATTCTATCACCCGAGACCTGGGAGCACGCAAGAATGCAGCCATAGCACTAGACTCTTCTGAACCGGCTGCTGCGGTACAATAGACTTGTGGAAATATACCACAGAAGCCAATTACAGACAATGATTTTAGATCCAGGGAATCAAATCTTCCCTTCGTGGGAGAACTGATCATATGTTCAGTCCATCTGGGACTGGGGGTATAAACAAACTAGTTGGAAGTCTATCTAAAGCATGATCAATCCATTTTTGTATTATATGTCCAAAGGGGCTTTGTATGTTAGACTGGGACTACTCTGCAATTGGCAATGTGTGTGTACTCGCTGAGTTAAAACTGAACTTGTTTTCGAAGAATTATACTGGACATAGTTTAGGAGAAAACTTAAATGTATAGTTGGTCAAATAGAAATGTCAGCCAGATTATGTCCCAAAACACAATAATAACAATGTACATTGCCATATGGGCGTTGTATGTTCTGACCAGGAATTGGTACAGAAAATCATACATGTTACCATTTGAAATCTGTTTCTACCGCGCAGCATATAAACCACGAGGCATCATACCAGAATTCATATAACTTCACCTTCAAACCAGATACAAATTTTCAGTAAAATCGACTTACGAGCATTTTGAGAGTGTCAGCAGAGGTAATCCTTGCAATCTAGATGTAGCAAAGAGCTAATCTTTCACAGTTGCGCGGAGTATCTTGACGTCATGAATAGGACTGCATGAACCCATTAGGAATCATAATTACTTCCCAACCTCAACAGTGATATTACAAAAGGGATGTGAAACTATAAGTTAAACCAGTGATCATGGAAAACCTCAATAAGCATTGATACAGGAATACTTAAGAATTGCAACATTTTATTCTGAGAAATAATTAATATAACCAATTGAAAATGCCTTTTTATCTACACTTCCTAATGCCTCAATAATAGATTCACGTCACGTGTAAAGTGCCAAGATGATAAAGAATGGATATACCGATCAGTATTATCGGTTTGAACACTGCCAAGTCTCTTGACAATCTCCATTCCTCTACATACTCTTCCAAATATTGTATGTTTTCCTGTAAAGGCATTTTGACACTTTAACAACACTTGTAGATAACAATAATCAACAGAAATACCCATCTAAGTAATGCAGGACAAAGACACTTATCCCAAAACCAGACAACACATGGTCAGTATATGGAAGTTCCAAAGAAACTTTAGCTAAACATGTCACAATAAAATATCTTAATGACTCTGATCCAAAGCATATCACACAAACAAAGTAGCCAGGCAACCTACCCAAAAACAATTTCTGCTCATACAAAGATTGGGCCATTTATAGGTAAGCAGAAGATCCATGTAAAGTCATTAAAATCAAGAAGACTGACTCGAAAATCATATCTGAAATGCAAAGAATAAATCCAGGTATCAACAGAAGCAGTTCTAAAACAGAATGGCAGGCATACTATTAGATCAATAATCAAATCCATCATGTTCAGGGCGACGAATAATGGCATCAGACAATTCAGCAAGTTGTTTATTCTCAGCCTCGATAATTTTCAGAAACAGTATAATTACCATCGAGTGAGGGTGCTGGTGCTAAAGTTATAAAGAACTGGCTCCCATTTGTATTTGGACCAGCATTTGCCATGGATATGATACCAGCTCCTGTATGCTTCAAATCCCTGTGTATCTCATCATCAAAGTGCTTACTGCAATAAAAGGAAATGATGGACAAACACATCAGCCATATTGAGATATTAATCAACATCAATTCAAGCATGATGCTAGCTCATCCAGCAGTAAACATACATCCAAATGACTCCTAACTTCTAACTTAATCATCAAAAATGTTTTGGAAAAAACTAGGAACAGAGAGTGAAGGCCAAGCAATCAAGTTCAAACTACTAAATTCCATTAAAAAGATTTCAAATCCAAAACACAACAACACGCCACAAGTACACAAACAAGCACAGATTCCCGCCCCACTAAAACATATAACCCTAGCATACAGCTATATCAAGCATTCAATTAGAGAAGATATAAAAATCTTAAAATGTCAACTTGGAGTTCATTCCGCTGCGGAACTATTACAGCATATGCACCTAAGAAGGAAGCATGAGTACTGACAATGACGAAACAACGAAAGCAGGATGCATACCCATAGATAGATTCGCCACCCCTTCCAGTTCCAGTAGGATCGCCTCCTTGAACTATAAAGTCCTGCAAAACCACAAATTTTCCAGAATAGGAAGTAAATTAAACCACAGCGAAAGGAGGAAACAAGTTGGCGTATTAGAAGAGAAAAAGAGGAGAGAAACCTTAATGATTCTATGGAATTTGACATTGTTGTAGTAGCCCTTGCGAGCTAGCTTGACGAAATTCTCACAGGTCCTGGGCGCATGATGGTAGTACATCTCAATGGTAACAGCGCCCATTGAAGTTTCCAGAGTGACCTCCGGCGGCCCTCCGTCCGCAGCAGCTCTCAGCGCCATTCTGTTCGTGTGTTTCTCGCCGAAATGGAAACACACATTTATTTATATCGGGAAATAAATGGGTCGAATGAGGGCTCAATGAAAACGGATTTGACTCTTAGGTTGTTTTAACCATTTTTTTTTTTTTTTTTTTTTTTTTTTTTTTTTTTTTTCCTTTTTACGCCCACAAACCTACGGATCGAACACACAAATTATTTATTTATTTATTTTTATCGGTAGCCCTTTGCCTTTTAATTTGTGAAGTTTTTGTGCTAATATATTCGTAATTATAAAAATATTATTATTATATTAAATTTTTTTATTTGTGTAGAAAGAAAAAAATAATAATTGTGCTTTTAAAGTCAAGAATTTTTATGTAATATAATATACGAAGTGTATATTAGAATGTATATATTGTTATAATATATATAACAATAAAATTATAATATATATATATATATAAGGGCGAGCAAAGACTATATAAAGTATATATGTACGATATATATAATATATAGAGAGAAAGAAATACGATAAAAGAGAGAGTGAATTCGTATAGCGAGAAAATTCTTTCGTGCACATTAAGACTTATTTGTAATCCATCGTTAATACAATTAGTGTGATACAATGATACCTAATATAAATAAACAATAATACGCTTTGTTAAAACGTTATTATGAAAAAATTTATTGCAACAAAAAATCTTAGTGAATGAAAAAAAAAATGATATTCATGCATTAAAAATACTCCCTTGATGTGGATATCACTTGAAATTCCGTAAAAGATCATTCCGATGTTCTTTACCAATTTCTTCAATGTTGCGGTCGGTAAAGCTTTGGTCAACAAGTCTGTTAAATTCCGGTCCGATCGAATCTGCTGTACATCTATTTCACCAATTTTATGGAGATCGTGAGTAAAGAAAAATTTCGATAAAACATGTTTCGTTCTATCTCCTTTAATATATCCTCATTCAGTTGAGTTATACAAGTTGACATTATCTTCAAATAAAATAGTAGAAAAGTTATCATTTTCGGATTTCAAAGCACAATTTTAGAAAATGTGGTGTTGATTTCAGTCAAACACACTTTGAATAGTAGGAGAGTCATCTTTATAAAAACACATGGGCAAACAGAATCATTGGCATATCCTTCTTTCAATAATGATTCACTGAGACGATTATACCACATGTGGCCAGATTGCTTGAGTCCATACAAAGACTTTTGTAATTTTAATAGAATAACATTCTTTTGGCTTTGAATTATATGCATCACGCATACTAAATCCTTTAAGAATTTTCATGTACATATTACTATCCAACGAGTCATATAAATAGGCAGTTACGACGTCCATCAGACACATATCCAAATTTTCATATACTGTCAAACTGACAAGATATCGAAATATTTTTCTATCAATTACTGGATAATATGTTTCATTAAAATCAATTTCAAGTCTTTGTGAAAAACCTTGGGCAATTAATCTTGCTTTATATTTGGCAATCTCATTATTCTCATTTCGTTTTCGAACAAATACTCATTTATAGCCAACAGGATTAACACCTTCGGGTGTTTGAATGGGTCCAAAATATTTTCATTTTGCCAGTGAATTTAATTTAGACTGGATCGCATCTTTCCATTTTGGTCAATCTATTCTTTTCCGACATTCGTCAACTGATCTAAGTTCTGAATCCTTGTCATTTTCCATTAGATCAAGTGCTACATTATATGCAAAAGCATTATCAATAATTATAGCCTTTCGGTTCTAATGGTTCCCAGTAATAACAAAATTTATCAAATTTTTAATAACATCATTCTCTTCAAGAGAAATAATATCTGGTTCAACTTCTCCAGGAAGTTTATTAGGATCAATTTTTTTTTTTCAGGAATTTGATTTATGTTACTACTTGTTCCCTGAGGATTTTGATTAACATTTATGTTACTATAACTTTTTATTTGTTATTCTTTTCTTTCGAAGATTCTTATCTTTGGAACCTAAAGGTTTGTCACGCTTCAAGCGTTCATTCGATTCACTAGCACTTTGTATTTTCTCTTCAGGGACAATGATTTTAGCCGATGCATTATTTGCAGCTACATTTGATCTGGTGACTCTGCTGGCTTCACAAAAAGCATCAGACAATTGATTTGCTATTCGTTGCAAATGTAAAATTCATTGCACTTCTAATTCACTTTGGCTATTACGAGGTTCAAGAAAATTGTAAGGTACTTTCCAAGTAATTTTCTTTTTTAGTTGATCAGTTTCTCCCCCTAATGTCGGAAAATGCGACTCGTCAAAATGACAGTCAGCAAATCGAGTTGTAAATAAATCACTAGTTAATAGTTCAAGATATTTAATAATTGATGGTGATTTATACCTGACATATATCCCCAATCTCCGTTAGGTGCTCATTTTTGTGCGTTGGGGCGGTGCTACTGGCACATAAACTGCACAACCAAATGTTCACCAATGTGATATATTGGGCTTTTCATTATAAACCAATTGTATTGGAGAGTAGCTATGATAGCTTGTCGGTCTTAATTTTATAAGTGTTATTGCATGCATAATTGCATGTCCCCAAGCAGATACAGAAAATTTGGATTTCATTAACATAGGTCTTGCAATTAATTGCAACCTTTTTATAAGCGATTCACCTAGACAATTTTGAATATGTACATGAGGTGCAGAATGTTCAATGTCAATTCCAATAGACATGCAATAATCATCAAATGTCTTTGATTAATATTCACCAGCATTATTACGGAGAATTTTCTTTATTGGATGATCTAGAAGTTGTGCTCGTAATTTAATTATTTGAGCACGCAGCCAGGAAAATGCCAAATTGCGGGTGTATAATAAACATGCATGCAATCATCTAGCAGATGCACCGATAAGTATCATAAAATATCAAAATGGTCCGCATGGTGGATCTGCTTGGCCCACATATTGAATTTGTTCTAAAAATGCAGAGGATTTATTTCCCACTTTTGCTAGTGATGGTCTAGTTATTAATTTTCCTTTTGAGCAAGCAATAAATTTAAGCTCATTTGTATTTAATACTCTTTGATCTTTCAAGTTATGGTCATGGGTATTTTCGATAATTCGTCTCATCATAATATTGTTGGGATGCCCAAACCGGTTATGCCAAATCATAAAATCTACACTTCTGGTCTACCAGATATGTTTCAACCGTATTAATCTTTGTGTAAGATAATCCGGAAGACAATGAAGGACAATTTTTCTAATATATTTATATCCATTAATAAATTTTGTAATCAATAAAAATTAATAATTTGCCTCACTCGATGTCTCAACATGATATCCATTTTTGCAAATATCATTAAAATTCAACAAATTTCTTTAAAATTTACTACAAAATAGTGCATTTTAGAATATTATCACTCTTCCGGAGCCCTTAATCAATTTCGCACAACCACTCACCTCAATTTTTTCCAACTTTAGATTGGTGAAATATTTCTCATATTTTAGAATGGTGTGCGTTGATGCACTTTCAATGAGACATGAATTGTCTTCCATATTATTCAGTATAGCGTGTTTAACATTTATATTTCTTCTTCAGGGAGAAATATAAGAATAAATATATCAAAAATTTGAAGAAAATACATTGCTGTCATATTATTACAAAATATATGGAGAAAAAAGTACAGGGGTTACAAAAATATATACACATATCTATATGTATATACTAGTATATTGTACTTTCGGGGTTTTCATAGTATTCACCTTCAGGGTGTACCAGAAAGTCAGATACATCTAACTGTGTATTATCAATACATTTATCACCCCCATTACCACTGACAATATTTTCCGAAAAATTAATTTCCGGGGGATTGATATTTTCCAGTGCTTTAACATCTTTAGGTACATTGTTTTCCTGTTTTAGGGATTTTTGGTACAACTCAATGAAGTAAGAGTTTGAATGACAATTTCTGAACCAATGTTATGTTGTTTCACAGCGATAACACTTATCCTCGGTATTCTTCAAACTCTGACTAACATCATCCTGATGCTGCTTCAGGGGCTTATTTGGTTCATGTTCATAAATGTCCTTAAAGGTAGTAATGCGAAATAAACCTGCCACGACCACGTCCACGGTCCGCTCTGCGTCCACGATTCATTCCACGTCCACGACTAAATCCACGTCCACGGCTTTGTCCACGACCTCGTCCACGGTAGTATCTAGACATACTATTCAAACATTGAGTCGCATTCACTTCAAGGAATGGACTTGCACTAGTTGGCCTCGATTCGTTATTTTTCAATAATAATTCGTTATTCTGTTCAGCAACAAGGAGACAAGTAATAAGATCACAATATTTAATGAAACCCCTTTCTTGATATTGTTGTTGTAAAACTATATTAAAGGCATAAAATGTGGTGAATGTTTTTTCCAACATACCATTATCAGTAATATTTTCCCCACAAAATCTTAATTGGGACGTGATTTTAAACATCATAGAATTATAATAAAAAACCGTTTTAAGATCTTGCAAAAAACGCAAATGTTGCCATGTGTGTTTCGCCTTTGGTAATATGACCGACTTCAGGTGACCAAACCGATCTTTTAAATTTGTCCATAATTCAAATGGATCTTTCACCATTAGATATTCTATTTTTAGGGCTTCGTCAATATGATGATGCAAGAAAATCATTACCTTTGTACGTTCTTGATTTGTGCATTCATTTTTACTCATTATTATTTTCGAAAACCCCATAGATTCGAGGTGCATCTCAACATCCATTTCCCACGATATACAATTATTTCCGGTAATTGCTAGTGGAGAAAATTCAAATTTCACTATATTAGTCATCATTGAAAAGAAAATAAATATTTAACAAAAATTTCAAAATCTGTTTCGAGTAATCTTAAAAAGAAAACAACAACAACAACAAAAATACGCTATCTTTATATGCACTTTCCCGGCAAAATCATGTGTTGATAACGTGTTATAAAATATATAACAATAAAATTATAATATATATATATGTATATGGCCGAGCAAAGACTTATATAAACATAATATATAAAGTATATATGTATGATATAATATATATATAGAGAGTGAA